GAACGCGAGAAGGAGGAGAGGTGACAAAAAAAAAGACTAAATAAGAGAGAATAAAGACATACTCAGAACAGTATAAATTCAACAACAACGACAACAACAACAACAAGGACGACGACGACTGGTAAGCCACGCGAGAACACCGCCGTGAATGGCGCGTGGGGAAACCGTTACGACGCGACAGCGAAGAACGAGGCGCCGCCGCCTGTCTCTCGCGGAGGCATCGCACGCCGCGCCTTCTATTCGCGCCGCGACAACTGCGGTGGGGGAGCTTTCGCAAGAAGAGGAAGACGCCCCTCCGTCATCAACAGTATGCTCTGTACGAAGGGAAAAGTAATAGGAGAGGTGGCAGATAGGTTGACGGGAGAACGCCGGGGGAAAAACCCCGCGCGTAACGTATCGGCCAAACGTGAAGCGCGCTGCACGACACGTACGTGTAAGGGGATAAAGAAACAAAGGGTGAAATTAAGGGGAAAGAGCGAGGACGAAGAGCATCGAAGAACATCGGCACGACAACGCGCCACGGCGTCCATGCACGCGTGCGACGACGCGGACACACACGCGACGCCGAAACCGCCGACTCTCGCCTCCTTGCGCTCGCTCAACTCTTTCTCGCTCTGTGATTTGCCTTCACTCCGCAACCACAGCGCCGCCGCATGCAGCTGCCGCGAACACCCGCCGGCATCGCTTAGCGAAGAGTAAAAAGAAGGAAAGGAAAAATAAAGGATGCACGTTTCGATTTTCGAAAGCGCGCGCCAAACGATGCGGAGACAAACCTGAGCGCGCGCGCGTTTTGACGATGTGGCATTGCAGCTACACCGCGCTGATGCAAAACAGGCGCGTCTCGGGGAATACGCGAACAAGACAACATGCATGAAACAATGGAGACAGAGAAATATAGAAAGAGAGAAAAAGGCAAGTCCTTCTTTTTTTTCTTTTTTTTTTAAAGGCCCTTCACTCTGTTTCAACCCACTCCTTTCTCTTTGTCGATGAGCATCGACAAGTTCGGTAACAAGAAGAAACAGGCGCCGTTCTTAGGCGGAACGGAAGCGAAACCTGCAGTAGAGGAAAATCTGTTACTCCAAACGCCTCGTATCGTTTCTCAAACAGTTTGATTCAATTCGGTCCGCAAAATCAAAAATAAAATCGGAGAGGGAAGGAGAGTGTCATCGATCCAACTGAACCACGAAGCTGCACAGAAAACCGATACGGGCTTTCGTATAGTTGAATATTTAAAAAAAAGAAATCACCTTGTAAATTCGACGACAAACAAAGCTGCAACGACTCCTCGTTATCTCGGATATCTGAGAAAACCAAAAGGCTAATATACGAAATAGCGAGCATATTTAATCAAAACTTCGAAGTATAAGGGAAAAACAGAGGAATGCCGTATGTTTCCTACGTAATCTCCAACAGTGTACCAAGCACAGAATTGTCATCCAACGACTCTGAAGAGTAGTTTCCCGAAGCCACCAATGAAGTTCATACTGTTTCCCTTATGCTTCAAGTTGCCCGGAATAAGCCGAGTTCTCTCTGCAATCTTACAGCCTCCGTGATTAGTTAACATAGCAGAGTAAACGCCAGGGACGAGCGAGAATTCTGTCACCGGTTTACGACGACGTAATTTTTAGAAGCTCCGAAGAAACAAAAAAGTAATTTAACTCGTCGTCGGGAGTACAGACTTCTCTTGTCGATGACTAACATTAAAAAGACACGTCAACTCTATTTGGAGATCATTACACTTTCTTCGGAGAGTCGTGTGACCCACAAGAGAGTTAACTTGTCTCTTTATAAGCAAAGTCATAAACGTGGCAAGTAGGCAGTACCTGAAAGGAGACACGCATGTTAACAACGATGCTTTCCGAGAGATTGTATCCTGAAAACGGGTTCATCACTTATCACAATGCAGCGTTGTGTCCATTCAACTGCAAGCCCGTAGTCACTCTCTCAAGGAGTACATCAGCGTTGCCCTGACCTATATAATCAATGAGTAGACAGGCAGTCTCAGCTACACTGGTGCTAAACCTAGCCATGTCATATGACTTTGCTAGTAATGAAGAAAATTCCTGCAGCCACCAGTGAGCAACTAAATAAGCGGCTATCTCCGATGGCATAAAATATTTTTTTTTACATACATTACAAAGGCGTAAATTGTCAGCGCTCGTGGGGCGGTGAAACGCGCCACATCATCACCAGCGTATCGCCTTGAGCTGCATTTCAAAAAAGCCTTGCCCCCAAACTCTTTTTTTTTACTCCTTAACGTGGCATATAATAATTAAAAAACACTGATTATTAAGCCTCACAAACGCACTCAGGATCAGCAAAAACGAGAGCCTGGCCAAGAGCGCCTCTAAGTAAGAACAGATTAAAATTTTCGCATCACTTGACAGAGTAATTTATACTGTATAGTTTCAGGTCAGTTGACGTACCGATAGTGAGCCGAGCCAATATAGAAGCGCGGCCTGTAATGTATATGAGCCCGTCTTCTTAGAAGTCCGCGCATACGCTACTTCATTAATAAGATTGCCACCCTTCTCTTCACCTCTGCCTAAGCATGCACTGCTAAACTAACCTTCAAACTTCTTCAGATGTCGTCCGAGACGAGAAGTTACGTTAACGAGCTTGCTGACGTTAAAAACGGTCAAGCAAAAAGAGGAGAAAACAAACGTTTGGAGTCACGACGAACCACCCTAGTAAACGTACACTTGATAGGCAATCTTGAGTTATAGTGTTTCGACAGCTTTCGTTTACACTAGTTAGCAACCTTCAATGCTACTCGGGGTGCTCAGCGCAAACAAAAATAAACTAAGCACACACCGAGCTGTCCTGTATAGAGAGCTATCACTGTTTGCTGACCAAGCCTGTCAAGAGCCGAGAACACTAAGAAAGCAACAACAAATGGAGTATACTTACCGGGTTTTTCGTTGTTTCGTTTTTCCGAGCGCGATAACATTACACTAGATACCCTATACGTTGTCACCAATAGGCAACGCGCACACAAGCCACTACGCACTTTGCTAACCTAACTGGCAGGCATCTCCAAACTTCTTAAGCCTCTTGACCCATCCACTTGCCCGTTCAACGAAAGGTGAACGAACAGACAGTTACTACAGAAGCATATACTCTTTACCTATCATCTTACGGCAAACTGGGGCAGCCGTTATCGCAATCTACGTATATCCAGATGAAGGACTGTGTATATATTTGCTCTGAGGACGGCTCGTATTTTTCCTGTTGCTTAGCAGTGTAGCTTTGCATTCCTCTGACGTACTCCAGGACAATGTTTAACCTACGAATTGAACACGGAAGAGTAAAGCAGCCGAAAAAAAACGAGGAAGGACCAGGGGCAACCGCGAAAAAAAAAATGGGGGTAATCAGAACAGCACCGGAAACACGATACGGGCGGAAATGACTACAATTTCGAAATATCCTCGAAAAGCTGTAAACTTCCGGCGCGGCGCACGTGTTGGATGACATTTTTTTTAGCAGTTCTAGGAAACAAACTCCTACCGAACCCTTGTGTTGCAGTAACGAAAGTCAACAAATCCGGGTAATATCTTCGTAAAGATGAAGTAAGGCCACCGGTCTCTGTGCCCTTCCTGGCCGCAAACGAACAGACTGTCTCTATTTGCCAAGTTACTTGCACGCATAAAGCAACGAATACGCGAGAGATCGGGTTGGGACGAAAAATGGGCCGCTTGCAAATTCCGGAAGCGGAAAACTGGTCTCGCACACTTCCGACTTTGCAGAAGCAAACAGGAATGTGAATCCTTCAGATTGCCTTCTACAGGGCGAGCGATCGCGCGTAAACGCGAGAAATCATTTTTTTTTTTTTTCGAGGAAATGCGAGACCGCAAGCATTGAAGTAGACGGTGTATGCAACTGTGTTTGCGGGCCAAGCTCAGTGAAAGAAATCATGAAAGAAAGAGAGAAGGAAATAAATAAATAAATAAATAAATACTCAAGTTTGCTTTTGAGGCGCGCTGAAGAGCCCCGGCTGTGAAAAAATGCGACGCCGGCTCAGGTCATAATGATGTCGTGGTTTTGGCGCGTAAACCCCAAGCAACAACGCAAAACAAAAAGAATATAGAACAGACGAAAACCTGTTTCACTGAAGGTGACAACAACGGAATTTAAACGACAAATATTGCAACGTAGTTAAGTCAAAACTCGCAGTAAAACTGCATGGTTAACGCCGGCCATTAAAGCTCTTTATCCCACGCCTGGTTGAAGGCATTCGCAATTTCATTTTGTTTCCTCTCATTCTCTTGTTCTCTGTTTACTTGAGGACAAATTTTGCCCCGTTACCACCGAGACGAAACGAACGTCTATATTTTTTTTTCGTCACATAAACCATCATAAAAAGAAATGATAGCAGTTATACAGTTACGATAAACGAGAAAAAAAGTGTTACACAAAACCAACAAATGCAGACAAAATTAGTCCATAGCACTTTCCATGTTACGGCATCTCGTCACGCTGCCGCACTGCTTAATAATAATAATAATAATAATAATAATAATAATAATATAATAATAATAATAATAATAATAATAATAATAATAATAATAATAATAATAATTTATTATTATTATTATTATTATTATTATTATTATTATTATTATTATTAATTTATTATTACTATTATAATAATAATAATTTATTATTATTATTATTATTATTATTATTATTATTATTATTATTATTATTAACGTTTTTATGTTCCAAAACCGAGATATGATCATTAGAGACGCCGTAGTGGAGGGCACCAAAAATTTTGACCATCTGGGTGCTCCAATGTGCACCGATATCACACCAGTACACGGACATCTACAATTTCGCCTCGCTCAAAATGCAACCGGAATCTGCTTCAGAGAGATTGAAAAAACGCGAAACAAGTAAAATTGAACCAGGAAATAAATACGTAAACAAAAAGCCTGCGATAAAGGAAAGAAAAATGACTAAGGGCTTCGGGCGGACTCACCAGTCACACCAAGACTCACCTTCGGCAGCCTGGTTCTCCCCAGCCGTCGATGCGTCGGGCACTAACCCTAGAAAACAACAAAGTGCACATGAATCATCTTCGTATCTGCCGGCGCGAAACAAAATGAATCAAGTGCATGACGTGCATCGTTGCGTCACGCGTTGCACAAAAACGAAAACACAACGCTAAACCCCAATAAAGAAAATCCAAGCATATCCACGAAGTGAATGCTGATGATGGGGAAAAGCAGTGTGTATCGGGTAGTGAATCGCGCCATCTATATTGTTCTAATTGACAGCCTTTTATAATGTTCATTGTAACCTTTTGTTCGGTATGTGCTTAGCTTGATGGGTAGTTTAATGCCGGTGTTTTTCTGGTGTAGTAGCCTTTTAGTTTCTTTGTTCTGGTTAACAGCTCTTTAATAAAGTTTTTTTTTTTGTTCACAATTTTTTCTGTTTTTACATCTCATGTAGATGCCGGGATCCAGTTTACGGACTGAGGGACGTTGTGCGCTGTTAAGGTGCTTTCCAAAAAAAATAATAATAAACAGTACAGCACTAACTAGGCGGTAAGCGTGTGCTTTGACGACAGCTTAAAAGGTAGTATGCACAAACACCAACGGCACAATAACAAAGTGTATTGCTACGGGGCATGCTACGGGGTATAAAGCGATGAAATTGAAAGCGGCAGTATTTGTATGGACAATTGAAAAAAAAAGCGAGAACAAAGAAACGCACAGCGAGCGGAACAAGAAAAGGCACACACAGGAATCAAATGGGCTGGTGATTAAAAACTAAAGCGAAGCGGAGAAATTTCGTATCTTCAATTTTGTATACTCATGTCTCTGTTCCATGGTTTTATTCACGACCAGAAGTAACTCATGATCTCGATCAGCATTGAAGGCAACTGAGAAAAGAAAAACAAAAGACTGGCCACACGTCCATAAGCAGGCCAATATAATTACCACAACAAAGGAATGGGACTCCGCATACATAGCGTAATAATTACAGATTGCATTATAAAAACTCAAAGTATTTCTGCATAGCACAAATAAAAAAGTATTTTTAAGAAGTTACCATTGCACTTTTGATGTAGGATATAATGACGAAAGAAAGGTATTTTGATTATGGGTATTTCGGCGACTAATGGGCGTTTTCTTTTTCAGGGCCCACCGTGACTCATCGCAAGAAACTTTGCTTGGTTGACACCACCACGTTCAGGTAGGTGTGCCAACAGTAAATCATTAGGTTTATCGTACAAATGCACGCAATCATAATAAAAAAAATCCCACGCCAAACAGCGAACGCGACAACGTGAACATAGGTTATATGTATCGGCTGCCGTTAATGAAAAGCGAATGGTTTAAATTGGGTCAATTTCGCCTCGGCCTTAGTAATACGGGTATCTTTATTAGTTAATATGTAAGGGTTAAAAAGCGCATATATGTGCAGCATGTACGAAATATCCCCTGCTCAGGGCTTATAAATCCAAGACCAGCCCCTCAAAACAAATCAGCCAATAATATAAACGCACGTTCTATCGTCCAGCATCCAGTCAGTTCCAATAAAGCGGGTGCCTTATTCCAACAATGACAGCACAAGCCTCGCTAGTAAGGAAGACTATTTACTGTCAGGGAGCACTGACGACAAGACGGTGACACAAGACAGTCGCTGAGTAGGATTGGCTCTTAGTAGCGGTCCAGATTCGCTACCGAATACACATAGGATATATCAGAAAAAAAGAAAACACAGAGTTGCGTTTCCTGTCATCTCTTTATCGCTTTTGCTACTGCCACTAAACCGAAACAAACAGGTGTTGTTCAGGTTTCTGGAAGCACCAATCGCTTGAAGGAAAAACACTTCCTGAGCAAGCCGAGCTGCGCCGGACGGGAAAGCGCCCTCTCGAAAAGCAACTCGCATTAGAGAGACGCTGTGCCGTAGTAAGTGAAATAAGTGGCGGAGGACGCGCTGAGCACCTGCAGCAACAACAACGGCAGCGTGGAAAACGCAATTTGTTCGGGCAGCACCGTGCGGCGACTTCGACGGGTGCGCGTGACCCGCATGCTTCGGTTCCAATATAACTCCGTAGAGATAAAAGTGCTGATTGTGTATTGGGAAGCAAGGCTTGCAAGGGGGAGGTAAAACACTGGCCGAACGGACCTCCCCTCCCACCCCCCTTAACACAACGCCGAAAGGCGACGTCGACCGAGCTGCTGCAACGGCGCGGTACGAGACCCAGCCCGCAAGCGATGCGGCGTGCGGGTCTGGAAAATCGCAGCGCTCCGCGCTGACACCTCTCTCTTTGCCGAAGCGTTCACATTGCGCCATTTATCGGGTATATAGTTCTGCGCAGTACTGATAAGCCATTCGATAGCAGCGCCCGTTATCGATCAAGACTCCCACAGTAAGCATGAAACGAACTGCTCTTTTGTCTATTCCACTCTTCTATTTGTTTGTCGCTGTATCAATAACGAATGAATACCAACTAGTCCCATCGAATACCGACCATAGTCCAGTTCACTGCAAACCCCTGTTTACAGTGAACTCTCTTGCGTTCACTATAAATCTAGCCTACGCCTGCGGTACCGAGGAGACATTGTAACATATCTTGTGCGACTGTCCGTGCTACGCTGTACAGAGACGATCCCTCTCATTCGCTCTCGTTTGTCCTGAACACAGAACGATGACACTAGCAACTATTCTTCAATGCCGTCCTGAATAGTCATCGAGAATTCAAGCAAACAAGGCATTGCTAAAATTCGTAAGGACAACAGACTTGCACGACTGACTGTAGACTGTATACGCCGTATACCACCCAATAAAGCCGCTCTACGCTGTTACGTTGTGTGTGTGGTGCCCCCCCCCCCCTCTTTTTCACTACCTCTTTACTCTTCTTCGATCCCCTCCACCCCCTCATCTGTGCAAGATAGCTAGTATACCAGCCACGGGAAACAGGTTAACATCCCTGCCTTTTCTCTCACATCTTTCGGGAGGTCGAAGCACCTTTGAAACGTTGCGGAGTAGGCGGAGAGGTCTCTCGAAAATTGGAATCATATGCGGAGCTCACAGGTTTTATCCATAGAGTTTCTCGAAACTAACTAGAGGGAACACTGGCGCTGCGATCCTTCAGCGATCATGGGAATTTCAGGTATACCATGAATTTGCCTAGTCGTAGAGCTTGCAGGGCGGCAAACGCACTTGTGGCTTCATTTATTGCTGTGTTTTGATTTTGTTTCGAAGAAAAGAACAAACCGTTTTTCACTTCGTGGCCCGATTTGAAGTAGCAAGCCTAAATAATTAAGATCGTGAAGCGTAACTGCCGAACATTTGCTGATCGTTGTTTCGTGAAAAAGCAGCTTCAAGCCACGCGAATACAGAACGAACGTAAAGTACGAAGACTAGGCAAATCCATGTCATACCCGTAATTCCCATGCTCGCTGAAGCACCGTGAATTGCAGCTCGCATAGACACTTGCGCCCCAGTTCCCTCTAGTGTATATTTAGGAAACTATATATGTTTTATCTTCTATGCGCGAGGCTTCGAGAACATGTCTGCCGGAATTAATGTTTCTGAGCGCCAAAGGAAACTCTCTTTTTCCAGCAGTACTGAATAACGTTGAGGGGCGAAAATAAAACTTTGTAGACAACGCAGTGAATTATATTTGAAATATAAATGAGCGCCCATTTTGCTTCTTGTATTTCAATGCCAAAAAGTACTTGCGCTTAACATCTACAGTGTCTCCTTCGCACACTGTCCACGATTAGTGGTCTACACAAAAACTCAGCGTCCCAAAATGCCTCAAGGCGGCACTATACGCGAGAGCACTTCCGTCCTTCAACAAATAGTTTCAGCACGGAAAGTCGAAATGCATCTATTCTTGAACACCTTCATGAGCGCACAGAGAAACTCGATATGCGAGTGCGAAAGCGCTAAAGTGGCAGATGGAAATTTGAAAAAAAGAACATCTACCTTATAATTACTGCGTCTTTCCGAGCGCTAAACTTTTCGACATCCATGAAGAAACCCTGACGAGGCCACCACATTAATCACAATCCCCGAAAACAGGCTGACGTGCACACGCAGCACACAGAAACATGGCTGCAGCATAGAGCCCATTTCTCGGCACTTTCACAAGTTTCGCCAATTCTTCAACGAGCGTCGCTACGTTTAGTTGATTTCGGCGTACATTTGCACGCTGTAATCAAGAATACATCGCTTTCCGTACGATACGCATTGTACTACATGGCATAATCGCAACGACAACTCGCCCCAAATGCACAAATACTAATTGGGTGGCTCGAAGCCACTTTATAGCAATACATCCATCGTGACGAACAGCTCCTATTAGACAGCTCCTTGCGGCAACAATGCGGTTCCGTATGGCTACCGCTATAGAAAGGAGCTATAATTGCAGGAACCAACGGACCAAACGTCATATAACCTCTCCTTGGAAGGGACTACAGTATTAAGCGCACGACCACATAACAAAACTAAGCCTCGATGCACTGACTACATCAGGAGAGAAAAACACCGCCCAAGCACTCCGTACAGATGGTTAGCCAGTGAAGCTGAAACGTGCAGCCACAGCGAGTGCAGACGTTACAGATGAAGTCAAAGTGTCCCTCGAGAAAACACCACCGAAAACGGGCGTTGGCCCTATAGCGAACGCCTTCCCGCCATTGCTACGTTGACGCTGCTCTGCCTGCAACACCGCTTCCTCGGCTCGCCGTTGTCGCCTGCGTTCGGCCCGGAAAGCTGCTTGATCTTCGGTGCGCAATGGCTGCTTGCGTTTTTCCACCCGGTCCTATTCTCCCGCCCGGACTGCTCCATCGGCCCAGCGAACATGAATTCTTTCACGGATCAGCTGTCCGCACCGTTGTTGGAAAGTAGTATGCTGTTCGGGCGTTCGAACGATCCATGCCACCCCAATGTAGAAGCTGTAAGTTCACACAGCTGCGCGCGGGTTCGGCGGCGCGGCTGCGAAAGGGTTAACGCCGGCGCTGTCAATGGAGACCGTTATCGTTTCTCCTTGCGAACGAATTTTCGTTTCGCCTAGCCATATACAGCT